TGTAGGTCTTTTGTTATTAAGAAATGACTTATTTGGCCAGATGTGGTGGTGTGTACCTTTAATCCCAGCACTAAGGAGGCAGAAGCAGGCAGATCTCTGTGAGATCAAGGCCAGCCTGGTCTACATAGCGAGTTCTAGGCTAGCTGGTGCTGCAGGGAGACCCTATCTCAAACCCCGCCCCCCCCAAAAAAACAAAAAGGGAAATGACTTATTTGAGAAATAGTGTATAATCTTGTTAGATCCACTGCAAAACTTACCAAATTAAGAGCTTTAAAGATTCCTGCAGATGCCAAATTTCCATAGCTTTACTTACTTGTATTTTCCCAGGGTATCTGACATTAGCATGCCAACAAATCTGTGTCTGAAAATGCTCCTTCGCTGTGTTTTGTTTTATTATAGTCTCATTTTCTGGGTCTGAAATGAGGTTACCCACTTTTCCTATAGGGACCATGTCTTCAGTAATTACTTACATCTTCTAGGCAAACATCCCAGTGATAAATTCTGTTTTACCATGGTTGTTAGCACACTTCACACCTTACAGTGTTCCTTATAGAGGTCACTTTCATTCTGTAACAGTACAACTTTCCATTTTTAGCAACTGCTTTATGATTTAATGATAATTTTAAAGAGTCAAAACTAGCAAATCCTTCTGCTTATTCTAGTGATGATGTCCACATAGCTTCTCCCACAGCTTACATCATCTCTGGAATTGAACTGACTGTAAAATTATCGAAATCATGTGTTTAATTTTATAAAATGAGTCTCACTCCTTAATCTTTTTTCTTTTATTTATTATTTATTTATTTTGTTGTTGTTTTATTGAGACAGGGTGTTACTTTGTAACCTAGGCTGGCCTGGAACTCACTTTGAAGACCAGGCTGGCCTGGAACTCACTTTGAAGACCAGGCTGACCTGGAACTCAACAGAGATTTGACTGCTTCTGCCTCTCAAGTGCAGAGATTAAAGGCATGCCCTGCTTCATCCTGGGATCTTTTAGTAAAACCTGTTTCTACTGTAAGTCATCATAAATGGGTTTTTGTTCGTTTTTTACTTCTTTTTTTGAGGCGGGGTCTCCCTGTAGCCCCCCAGCTGGCCTGAAACTCGCTATGTGGACCAGGCTGGCTTTCAGTCTTGCAGAGATCCACCTGCCTCTGCCTACCAAGTACTGGGCTTAAAGGCATGGCCACCATGCCCAGTGTTCTTTAGTACATATTTATTGTACTTGGTACTCGGTTACATAAGGGCATTTTTATACAGGTATACAACTTATTCTGAGTGCTCTTTCCCTTTCTATGACTGTGTGTATCCTTTTCCTTTTCCTGTTCTGACTTAAGACTCATTGGGAAAAGGATCTTTCCAGAAAGTGAATGTCATTTACTCATTCGTGCAACTCCATCAAGAAAAGTCTTCATGTTTCCATTTTCTTTAAAATAGTTCTTTTCATTTCATGAGCTTTTACTTGTACTCAGTATATTCCTTGTGCGTTTTAAATCTTTTTAACTTGCTTCACTCTTTCTCCTTAGTTCCTTCTTTCTTCTTTAATTACTGCCTTAGTTTAGCTCTTTCACAATACTATACATCCTTTTTTACATCTGTAAAATTTACTGTGTTAAGTAAAGATTTTTTCATATGTATCTTGTAAATAACAGTTACGTAGGAAGAACACTATGAAAATAATGTTATCACATGGTCTTGTAATATGAGGAATACAACCTGTTCCGCCTGTCTCACATGGCTGTTTAAAATGAAGAGAAAGTGTGTTTGACTGAAAATTCTTTTAAGTCCTTTGTTTTATTTGGTTTTTAAACTCTGAGTGTAAGCCTGGGCACTTGGGAGGCAGGGGCAGATCTCTTTAGTTTGAGGCCTGCCTTGACATCCCCACCTTGATGGACTGTATCTTGCACTCTGAGTCAAAATAAACTCTTTCTTCCTTAAATTGCTTTTGTCAGATTATCTTATCACAGCAACAAGTAAAGTAGTAGTAATTGCCCTTCATGTCTGAGTCTTTCAGAATTCATCGACTGATAGTTGCCCACACAGGCATTTATTTGTCTATATGTAAATATGAAGGGGGTGAAATATGTTGAGTTGATTCTTGTGAACATTTAAAAGGAACATAGCTAAAATGTTAGCAGTCTGCCTGAAGGTAATAAAGTCTACCCTTTCTCAAGGATTCTTAGACATATTGCATCTTTTGGTTTTGGTTTTACAAGTTTTCATCTCTTTTTTTTTTTTTTCTTTCTGTCTTTTTAAGACAGGGTCTCTGTAACTATCAGCTAGCCTAGAACTCTCTCTGTAGACCAGGCTGTCCACAATTTCATGGCGATCCATCTGCCTCTGCCTCCCAAATGCCTAAAGACATGTACCACTATGCCTAGCTAAACATAAACTTTTAACTCTTTCTTAACCCCTTTATAAAACCATTTCAAGGTTTCTCATAAATACCCGAGAACATATAGGTAAATACACATCTTGACATATAATGCCTTTGCAGAATGTATATAGAAAATGAAGTTAGTTAAAACTTCATATTTATTTATATAGACACTGGCATTTTAGTGACAAAGCATGTTTTGTTCATTACATTTTTATGGCTAAGGAAAATGGTAACTCCTGAGTATTTAAATTCTAAACCTGGATAGAAATCCACATACTTGCAAGCAGTGCTATTCCCGAGTTCTTGATTCCTGTTTTAGTTTTTCCCCAGTTCCTTAGATTATGGTCTTGGAAAGTTGTGTCACAGTGCAAGATTTGCATTGTTGTAAGTCTTCCTCCTCCCCTGACATCAGTTTTAATACTCAGATATTCTTTGAGTTGTAATTAAAGTGAACCATGTGTGAGTGCTTTGCAGTTAATGCTTGCATCCAGCAACACGTGCTCGAGCTTCATATCCAGTCTTGATGATGCCTCATGCCAGATTCTTGCTGTCAGCCCAGCACGAACAGATGGTGGCTCGATCCCTGGGGCAGGCTGACCTAGTGTTTTCAGCTGTACATCTTTGGTAGCATGGCCAGAAAAGAAAGCATTTAACATGGCAAATTGACGTCGCCACTTTCTGGCTTATTATTTTATTAAAATCAGTAGATTTTAGGTGTTAAGATTTCCTGGTGGTAGATTAAAAACTTATACTTTTAGTCCACGTTTCAAAATGAAAGCATATACTGGTGGTATTATGATTCTTTAACTCAGAATCTTGGGTAGATAATGGGCACATGAAATAGCAATTTCTAACTTTTTTGACCAAAACTCATGGTCGGGAATATAATTTACAGGGACTAGAGGTGCGACTCGGTAGTAGAGTCTTTGTTTAGCGTTCAGGAAGCTATGAGTTTGGTTCCTAATACAGCAAGAGCAAAAACATAACGTGTGTGTGTGTGTGTGTGTATGTGTGTGTATACATGCAATCACATTTATACATAAATAATTCAACCCCAAGATTAGCTAATACTTTTTTACCTTACTGTGTGCATTTTTTCCTATTCTGTTGTAGGTGGCAATTCTAGTTCTCTATCAAGGGAAATCGCTGGCCTTTCTTTTACCAAATAAAATTTAAAATTCACTAATTAATTGGATTAGAGTTGAAAAAACATTAAACTTTAAAAGGGCTGACAGGATGACTTGGTGCGTAAGAGTATTTGCTTCCAAGCCTGCTGAACCCGGGTTTGATTCCTAGAACTCACATAAGGAAAAGAGAGAATGGATTCCCATTAGTTGTCCTCTGACCTCCATAAATGCTTCATAACACATGAGCATGCATGTGTACACACATATGAATAAACAAATGTAAAAATATTTTTTGAAAAGAAAAACACTAGTAAGTTAGCTAAAGAAATATATTTTGTGAACGTAAATACCCTACTAAGAATGGTTTTCCTACTCTATTTGTCATATTGGCCTTTTACTTACTGAATTTTTAATATTCTCTATTTGTGCATTCAAGAATCTAAGAGTTCTTTCTTACTGGAAGAGCCTATTTTTAATTGAAAGTTTTAGTGAGGCTTCTACCCCTCTGTCTTTAAATACATATTATTTCTTCTCATTGCACATAGGCAAATAGTAACTTTTTCCTTAAGCTTTTATTTCATCATCTAAATAATCCTATTGCCTTTTTGGTTTAATAGATCATTCTTTCAATAGCAGGTACATGAAGGATCTTGTTTTTGTTTTTTTTTAATATTTCGTTTATTATTTTTAAAATTTTGTGTGTATGAGTGTATTGCCTGCATGTTTATAAGTGCACCTGTGTTGTGCAGTGCCTGTGGAGGTCAGAAGAGGGCGTCAGATCCCCTGAAACTGGAGTTACAGATGGTTGTTAGCTGCCATGTGGGTAGTGCGAATTGAATCCGGGTCCTCTGCAAGAGTAGTCAGTGCTCTTAACAACCACTGAGCCATCTCTCTAACCCCCAAGTAACATTTTTAAAGTTCTTTAAGCAGCTAGGGACTCTTGAATCTGTGTTTCACCAAGTTGAGTTATGAATGCTGTGGAGTAAATTTACTATTTCTCTTCATTAGTGGTAATTTGAATGAGTTGTATAAAATCATAGCCATCATGGGGAACTATGTAATCTTGGCTATCATTCATATAAAATAATGTGAGATGGGAGTTTTGCTTATTATAATTGCTATTTTTAACTTACTATATGACATAAGGAACTATAAAGCTTATGTGCTCTAGCTTAAGCATTCAAAAAGGATATAGAAAAAAGCATTTCTTTTCTGAATGGATAGGGCTGGGATTAATGTTGAAACCATACGCTTGGCTTGTAGTGGATATATTCAGAAACCTTCCTCTGTAGCGTGTTGTCTTTAGATAGGCAACATAGTACTGTAGTGAATTTTAAAGATTAACATAGCAAAAGGTAATTCTGTGTAAACATTTAAGTACATACGAAATTAGTTTCTATTATGGATTGGGAAGATTCTTGAACAGTTTATTGCCAATTAAATATTCCATGTTTGCATTAAAGATTTTTTCAATGAAGTTCTTTCTTCTCTTTCAGACACAGAAACAAGTGAAAAAATACAAGGAGGTGGAATCCTTCAATTGTTTGCAAGTCTGTTAACTCCACAGTCTTCCTGCACAGCCAAAGTAGCTAACATCATAGCAGAAGTAGCCAAAAATGGTGAGGTTTTCATCAGGAATTTTCTGCTGGGAACATCTTCAGTTTTACACCTTTCTTGTCAGTATGTTTTATTAATTTATGTTTTGATTTTATGGCTTGTACTTTTTCTGTTTCTTTGATTTTATGTTCCTGCTTTAAATTATGTCATACATTTCCATTCATTCAGAGTAGAATTAAGGGAAAGCACTGTTACTCTTAGTTATTGTGTCATTGATTTCTTAGTTTGGGTATAAGATTCTTGAGTTTGTTGGTAAGTCATCTTATCATAGGGGAGCTTATTTCTGTCTGTCTCCCATTTTTTTTAGGATGGTCTCACTATGTAGCCCCAGCTAGCCTAGAACTCACTATGTATTTGTAGGCCAAGCTGGCCTCCTTATCTCATTGATTCTCCTGTCTCTGTCTCCCAAGGACTGGGATTAAAGGTGTGCACCTCCATGCCCAGCTGCATTTTCTACTGTGTGTTGGGCTGGGTTGTATCCAGATAGCCTTGCTGGGGTATTCTTCTCTCTATCCCTCTTGCTTTCAGTTTTGTCTGTGTTGAATTGCTACTTGATACCAGCAGTACAGTTGGAATGTACAATCTGTTTTCTGCACTTGCTTTCATAGAAAACATCTGTGTCTTAAATTCTCAGATGAACAATGATAATATAAATTATGTGATAATTAATTGATCCTATTGTGTATTTATGTCCAGTGACAGATTCTCCAAGAATGATAGCAGAATAGTTGTACATAATTTTAATTTAGTCAGTTTTAGGAAAACTGAATTGGGAAAGCAAGTTTTAGGCTTCAGGGAAAACCACAGTAAATGTCATGGCTCAGTTTGTCAGAATTTGGTATCATTAGTGTAGTATATTGCATAGATTAATATTTTTCACAGAAAAAAATTTAAATTTCTGATTTCATTCAAGTAATGAACATGCTGAAGTGACTTTTCAAAGAACTGTTAGCATGTTGTTTTGTCTGGTAAAGCAATTGCATGTATTACCGTAAATGAAGTTGGTATGAAACACTTTTTTTATTTAAAGCTCATCAATATGTCTTTCAAGTTTTGATTAGGTTCTATATTAGTAAATCATATTTTGATTGCTCACTGAAATGCTTACTAATCACAGTGCTTTTTTAAAATGAGTGGTTAAAAAAGTTACAGTAGAATATCATTGAGTGTTCTTTTTAATACGTTTTCTTAGAAGGCAGCATGACAACAGCACACTCATTGGGCTAATATTTCTTATTAGAAACTTGATAATTCAAAAAATAGATTCTATGAACCAGAGAAAAATGATGTTAAAAGATGATTTTTTTTTGCAGTGCACATTATCTAACTACAAAGAATAAACGTTAGCACATAATTCATAGATTCAAGTTAAACATAAAATGTGCTTATATTGCAAATTTAAAAGAATCTGAATGCTGGCAGATCTGTGTTCAAAATTCAGAAGTTTAGAATGAGGTTTTAGATGGGCCAGCTTAATGTGGAAGGGTAGTTACTTTATACTTTATAGTAAAAGACATTTGGACCTTTTAAATATAATCCACTATATAATAGACTTAAGGCTGATTTGAGGCAATAGAGAAATAAAGAAAACAGGAAGTATCTATGAGTGTTTCCTTCCTTTAAAAATTGGGTGCATGGGGCTGGGAATATGGTTCACCAGGTAAAGCAGTTGCTGTACAACTGTGAAAATGAGATTCCCAGAACCCACACAAAATCTGAGCAGTTATGTTGGCTGCCTGTAATCCCAACACTCCAGGAGATAGGGGATCCCCAGAAGAACCCAGCTGCCTAGACTCACTGGAATCAGTGAGCTCCAGGTTCAGCAAGAGACCCTGCCTCAGAAAATAAACTGGAGATCTATTGAGAAGACACCCAATGTCAACTTCAGTCCTACATGCATTCATACATATGCATGCACACCACACACACGCAAAAATAAAAATAAGACTTGGGCTCATAGAGTATCAGTACTAGTAGTGCTAATTCTCAACACTAGCTACTGCTGTGTACTTATATTATGCTAAGCATGTGCACATATTCCAAATTCTTGTTATAGTCAACTTATTTTTTATAAGTTCTCTAGGTGATTCTGGTGAATGTAAAGTTTGAGAACTAAATCTTGGTCCAAAGCAATGCAGAATCAGTAGTATGGGTCAACATTATGCTTCTTTCCTTCCTATATCAAACTGTCTATCTGAATGCTTGTGGAAGTTACAATGAAAGAGGGTCCTGGGAGGGTCCCAACAGAAACACGGAAGTCTCTTGTAAGTCTTGTAAGTTAATTTATTTTAATTTTGCCCTTTACTCCATAGCAAGTAAGTGTTTATTTTTCATGTAAAATATGTGTGCCCTAGAAGCAGCATTGAGCAAAATTGAAACACCAGAAAAATGTACAGTGTTGTCAGGTAGCTAATGTTTACCTTGACACTGAAATGTTGGAATTCCTTTTTTTAAATATTTATATTTATTATTTGTGTATGAGTATTGCCTGCATGCGTGTAACTGCACCCATGTCATGCAGTGCCTGCAGAGGTCAGAAGATGGTGTCAGATTTCCTGAAACTGGAGTTATGGACAGTTGTTAGCTGCCACGTGGGTGTTGGGAATCCAGCCCCGGTCCTCTGCAAGAGCAGTTAGTGCTTTTAACCCCTGAGCCATCTCTCCAGCCTCCAGAGTTGGAATCTTAATCTGTTACTGTATAAGAATGTTTTTAAGTGTTATCTTTAACAACAGGGGCAGTACTGAGTGTAAAGAAAACAAAAGGTAGCTTCTCAGTCCATTATAAAGTCATTCCTTCCTTTCAGTTCATGCCTATTTTTCTTTATATGTCAAAAGATAACTGTTTAGGGACTGGAAAGATAGCACAGCGGTTAAAAACGCTGTTCTTGCAGAAGACTAGGGTTTGAATCCCAGCACCCACATAGCAGCTAACAAGTGTGTGTAATGCCAGTTCCAGGGGATCCGATGGCCTCTTCTGTCCTCTGTGAGCATCGCACAGCATGGGTGCACTTACATACATGAAGGCAGTATAGATGCATACACATAAAATAAAAAAATATTTTTTTAAAAAAGAACTCCTCTATGAAATTGTATCAAAAATTTAGCAATACAATATATCTTATTACCCTGAAAAAAGAAAAGCTAAGAGTTAATGAAGAAAGGTTATTAGAAAAAATTCAAACTCTGATGATACTATTACTATTTACTATCTGTGGTAGTCTGTTTCTTCATTGCTGTGACAAAATACTCTGACCACTACCAACTTGGGGAGGAAAGGGTTTATTTAGCTTACATATCCCAGGTCACAGTTCATCCGGGAGCCCAAGGTAGGAACTCAGGGCAGGAACCTGGAGGCAGGAGCTGGAGCACAGGCCATGGAGGAATGCTGCTTACTGGCTTGCTCCCCTGGCCCCTGCTCAGCCTGCTTTCTTATGTAACACAAGCCCACCTGCCCAGGGGTGGCACCACCCACAGGGGGCTGGGCCCTCCCACATCATTCAGCAATCAAGAAGGTGCCCCATGGACATGTTCACAGTCCAGTCCAATGAAGGAAATTCCCCAATTGAGGCTCCCTCAACCCAGGTGTGTCAAGTTGACACTAAAGCTATCCAGCACAGTGTCCCAGACATTAAAGTATATTCTAATACTCTGTGTTTGAATTTTTATCTTTGGATTGGTGCTTCAGGTAGCAGAAAGTGAGAAAGTACACATAAATCTTCTATTCGGGTATTTGCTAAGTAGATATGTAAGATTTATGAGTCAGTGTATATATAAAGAAAACTATTCTGTGATTTTCATGACAGCCTATACTTTGATAATACTGAATAAATAGGTAGTTGAAGCAAGCTTAGGAAAGAAAAGGCAAAATGGTAAAGAATTTTTAATATTTTACTAAAATCGAAGGTGAAAACTGGTAAGAGAATGCAGTGCTTTAAAATTTTATTGACATTGAATTAGAATAATGCCTCTGAATTGAATTCTACTTTGAAGTCCACATATAAATACAAAAACCAAATAAATTCCATGTTGTTAGGCCATGCATATGTATATACAAATGCTTAATAGCGTCTACTTTCTATGACTTCCACTGGCTTGTCCTCAGTCCTACTGTCTTTTTTAGCCTCCCCTTTATAGTACTCCTCAGTCCACCAAGAACTTGTCCATTCTCTGGAGTTCAGATTTTCTAGAGAGTCTGACTTTTTCTTTCATCTATCACTGTTGCTCTGTTGAGCAGATTTTTAAAAATAGGCTCTTTACTAGCCCTGTACAGTCTGGATGTGCATTAGTACTCAGCCAGGCATGATCAGGTAGCAGGCTCATGTGGCATTAACTTAGGCGCATGTGTGGTAAAGCCACTTAGAATAAAGATGACCATCACAGCCATTCAGAAGTCTGCAGTATAATTACAGCGTATTTTAAACATACTCTTGGTAAGTTCAGCACACTCAAGCACTCTGTTAAAGCATAGATTTTAAAGATAAGCTAAGGAATGCTTCCACTCCAGTTAAAAAATATTTTTAGAGGAATGTACTTTCTCCAGAGACTGGCATGTTGCCCTTATGTTCAGTGAAAGCTGGAGCCTATAGTAGCTTTGTTTCCAAATAAAAAAATGATCAAAACAGCTTTAACATTTTCCTTTATTTATTTGCTTTCCATCATTTAAGAATACCTGATGCTGGACTAGAGAGATGGCTCAGCTGTTAAGCGCACTGGCTGCTCTTGCAGGGGACCAGGTTCAGTTCCCAGCACCCACATGGCGGATAACAGCCATTCATAACTCCAGTTCCAGAGGAGCCGACACCCTCTTCTAACATCTGTGGGCATTACATGATATGGGTGCACTTACATGTGTGCAGGTAGTACACTTGTACACATAAAATAAAAATAATAAAATGTTTTTAAAAATTAAAAGAATACCTGATGATATTGATTATAGAGTCCAAGTTCTTTTTTTTTTCCCCCCCTCCTATCTTTTTAAGACAGGGTCTCCCTGTAGCCCCAGCTGTCCTGGAACTCACTATGAAGATCAGGCTGGCCTGGATCTCAGAGATCCACCTGCCTCTGGCTCCCAGTAGAGTCCAAGTTTTAAGTAAGTGATTTCAGAGAAACAAAAAGCAACAGAAAATAGTGATTCCTTGACATTTGCATTCTTTGAAGAATAGCAGTAGCAAAACCGTAAGATGTAACAGCAGGTACCAGTTATGGAATGAGAATGCAAATTATACCATTCCTAAATTCCCTGTTTAAACAGTAAGTAATGAGATCATCTTAACTGTTATAAGCCAGGTATAGCTTGGTAAAAAGGATAATGAACATCTATCCTTAATTCATTAATTTGAGTTCATTGCATATTGATAGCATTGATTGATTAATTTGATTGATTGATTGATTGATTGATTGATTGATTGATTGATTGATCGATCTTTTTGAGACAGGGTCTCCCTGTAGCCCCAGCTGTCCTGGAACATGCTATGTAAACTAGGCTGGCCTCCAACTCACAGAGCTCCACCTGCCTCTGCCTCCCAAGTGCTGGGAAGACCACAAGTAGATTGTTGGTGTTATCTCCTATAGATAATTAGGAATTCATAGGTGTTTATAACATGATTAGGTTTTCCCAATCTATTGTAGGGTATATTAAACTGCTAAAAGCATCAGTAATAAATTTAGAGGTTAGCTTTTAAAGAAGGAAGTACTCTCAGTCGTGGAAGCTTCAATTACAGGAAGTTTTCAGTAATAAAGTAGTAAGAGCTCATAGGAATAGAATCCTTTAGGAGGGGTATTACCTCTGTTACAGCTATCTAGGCAGAAAGAAACTATTTTAGAAGTTACAGCTCACATACTATTCATGTATGTTCTTTAAGAATTTTTAAATGAAGGAAAAGTGAAGGATGATTGTTTATGATGAAAATACACATGGAATATCTTTTTAGTAGGATGAATTCTGTCTTGAGGAATTAGCTCTTACTGGCTAACTTTAGCCACCTGAACATTTTGATAGAAAATGTGGTGTTTGCAGTGATAGTTCTAATATTGTCTATTGGTGAATTTTCCTGAACTACGTGTCTTTATTACCTTTAAATTTCATTATGGTCTATGATGAGGCACCTCAAGAATAAATTTTATTCCTAATCATTATTGTGATGGTGTCGCTGAATGTGAATAAGCGGAGATAGTAGACTATAAAGGTAAGGGAAATGAGCTTGAAAGCCTATATTTGTACACTCATGTAAATGCGTAAGTATAGCAGCAGCAGATAGGAGTGATCATAAAGTGGCTTTTAATAAAGAATAGGAATAAAAATGAAGAATTCAAGGTTCTTCTAGGTCTTAACAATTGAGAATATTATTTATGTAATGATTAATTGGAACATTTACGCGCTTTTTAATTTTGGGTTTTCAGAGACCATATAGTGAAAAATGAGGCAGTTTGATAGCTTAGTTTATAAGTAGTTTTCTTTAATTATCAGCGTCTTGGACTAACATTATATATTGCTTCCTAAGTACATCCAGTTATTCTAAGAAGATAGTGATAGATTAGCTGTAATGAAAATTTGTTAAAAAACCTTTTGGTTTATGACAGAGGCTACCAAGAAGGAATAATATGAACCCACTCCACTCTTTTGTTTACTTATGTTATAAGGTGTTTAATAGAGTTCTAACAGGGTGCTTTTGAACAGAAATGTACTCTTCAAATAGTAAGTTATTTAAGCCTTTTAATAGTGGATACTTGTTTTGTTAAAGGAGATGATGCATGCAAATTGTCAATCTTAGTATTCTAATTAAATGTATCTTACTTTCAGAATTTATGCGAACTCCATGTGTGGATGCCAGATTGATTCCACCACTGGTGCAGCTGTTAAATAGCAAAGACCAGGAAGTGCTGCTTCAAACGGGCAGGGCTCTGGGAAACATATGCTACGATAGCCGTAAGTGTTAAGATATCAATAAAGTTTACAGCTTCTTAAGAATTAGGATTTTCAGATCAATTTCAGGTTTAGGACTGACTTTTCTAGACTGACTAAAACATGGGATGGTAAGATTTAGCTCTGCTTACTTAGTAGAATGGGTGCGCATTTGAGTCATTCTTAACTAAGAAATTAGAGGGGGTGAATTCCCCTCTTTTCACAAGAGATATTCTCTAAGTAAAGTAAAAAATTTCTAAAAACTGAGGCTTTTAATTTTAATAAAAATATAATTACATTATCTTTTTAATGGGTTTTATTGAAATGCTATCTAAATGAGAATGATTATGGACAGTTTTTAGTTTCTAAGTCTGTCCAAATAATTTTTTAATTGCCATTCATAAAACCCATCATCTCAAAAACTAGATTGGCCCACTGCATTTGCATCAGCTCCATTCCAGTTTGTCTCTATTTCATTGTCATTCTTATCCCCTTCTGTAACACTGCTACAGAGGAAGCAAGAACTTGTATATGAGATTTATTACAAACGTGTTGCAGTTTCTACTTCTTATGTAAACAAAATACAGAAACTTCTGAGTATATACTGGATATAGTGACATATACTTTTAATACCAACACTCTGGAGTTGGGGACACACACACACACACACACACACACACACACACGTGCGTGCCTTTGAATTATTCTGGTTAATTAGGTTTGTCCTGATTTTCTCTAGATTCCTATTTTCTGAGCCCAAATCTCCTACAAATTTCGTTGTATTTGTGCAAGTAGGATAACTTTAGTATATGTTTTACCTGTTGAACTGTATTTTGTTGTAGCCCTAAGTTCTTGGCCATTTTTATAACGGATGGTGCTTTAAAAAGTGATTTATATCTAAGAGATAGATAGAAAGTAAGAGTACACATGTTAATAAAGCTATAACTTGAGGAAACTGAAGCCTATTTTTATGGTATTTATCTTGTTGGTTCCTTTCTCTTATGAAATATACAATATAAAGTTCTATTGATATGCTTTAGGCTATGAAGTTAATACTTGTTTCATTTATTTATAAATATAACTACTTCACCCTTAGTTCAATGAAAATTATAGTTAAATTGATAAGTAAGCATAGTGAATCTAAACCATACTTTTCACTTCTAAGCCTTGGTTAAGGAAAATGAAGTTAGCAGTCTTAAATATAATAAATATAAGAACTGATTTATTACTGTAAAATCGTGTAATGAAACTGTTCATTGTGCCATGTTGTCTTAAACTATATATCTTAATAAGACTGTGCTTTCTTACCCTTTTATTTTAAATTAAATTTATGTCAACTTCTTAATGCTTTCTCCAGTTTACTTATTAAAGTAAACTGGAGTCCATACTTAAATTTCAAGGCATAAAAATCTATAAATTTAGTGCTGTGTGGTTACTTGTGAATTTACTTGAAATGTATTTCTCATTTATTTTGTGACAGTTGGGATTCAATCTTTTCCCTCTTTTCAGGAAGGTAGTGCTTCATTTTTTATTGAGAAAAGAAAGAGATAAAATTAGTGAATACAAAGACTGTTTTCTCCAAATAAAGTATATCTAAAGATTCATGTTTGTTTTTAATCAGCTATCCTGTCAAAATAATGAGTTGAGTTATATTAATATACTTCAAAGTAATCATTTTTAGTGTGATTTTTGTTCAGGATGGTAGTAGGCTTGCAGTAGATAGTAAACTAGTGTTTATAGAGAGAACTATAAACAGCCCACTGTTAGAGAAAAGAGTTTAGAAATCTGCGTGCATGTGATAGATGTTTGCCAAGGTATGTTTCGCTAACAATGAAATGCCACAAAATTCATGGAATGCTAGCAAAGATGTAGGTCAGATTTCAGTTGTAAAGTATTTTATTTATTCTTTTTATTTTATGTGTATGATTGTTATGCCTGCCATGTATGTAAGTGCACCCATGTTGTGCAATGCCCTTGGAGGACAGAGAGGCTGTCGAATCCCCTAGAACTGGAGTTACATACAGTTGTTAGCTACCATGTGGGCGCTGGGAATTGAACCCAGGTTTTCTGCAAGAAAAGCCAGTGTTATTAACCACTGAGACATCTCTCCAGCCCCAAGATTTCAGTTTTATTAACAGCCTCAACAGTTCCCATTTTAGGAATTCTTCCTTATGGAAGAAAACAGTCTTATATAATCCTAACATCAAGTAATAGACTGACATAACTACCAAATGTGATGAGGTAAGGCTTTGTTGTCAATGAACTTTGGGTATCCTATCTCCTGTTGTATACAGAGATGAAAGAATCACTGGCTGGGCACATTTTTTCATTTAAAATTGCCTAGTGTATTGCCTTTACTTTTCTTCCAAATAACCCTAGGCATTCCATTTATTGGTTCCTCTTTCAAACCATCCAAATAACTTTTGATGCAAGCAACATTTAAAGATTCTTGTGCCCTTTAACTGTGCCAAAGTAACTCTTTTTATAAGAAGCTTGACATCTTTCAAAGAAGACAGAAAAATTGTACTTCATTTGAAGGAAATCAGCAAGGCTGTGTGCATAAAAGAATGTGCTCAGGCACCCTTTAAACAGAGAAGTAGTATCATCTTTCAGGTATGCTTGGTCTACTTATGCATCTTTTCAAAAGTGATATATTTTTAAAAACGACTGCTTTTTCCCTTTATGGAATTTTTGTGGCATTCTCTTTTTTCTTTGATTTTTAAAATTTTCACAATTCTCCACATTTTAAATCGCTGATATAGTTAAGTGGGCTTATCCCTCCAAAAAGGTTCATAATGAAGCCTCATCTGTATTTGTAATTCCCAGGGATAAAATTGGTGAGTAGAGACTGAATTTGTTGATATTATTGCTTGAGGTTAAGAAAGAATATTTAATGTACCAGTTAAAAGATTTGTGAAGAGGCTAGCAGAAAATGATTATATAAAGTTAAATACTTGCCTTTTTATATAAAGAGCAAGATGAGGATATTAGTCAAATTTTTAAATTAAATATGCTGCTTACAGTAATAAAGTCAATGCTTGCTATTACATAATTAATCCTACTATTGGAAAGAGATACACAATTAAGAATTTTACATAATGTGCTGTCTCCATATAGAAAAGAAATGCACTTATGCTGAGTGAATAAAATGATCAAAATGAGTCAGATTTGCCAAAGTCATGTTCATGAGGTAAAATAAATTGTTTATTTAATTGTCTTTATGTATAAAAAAGAATGTTCAAATGTAGGCATGTGCCCATTTGTTAGTGATTCTGAATGTGTTACACTATTTGTGTGTATGCATGTGTGCATGGTCCTTGAGTATGCCAGAGGTAGACAAGGTGTTATCTCTGTGAATCTCTTGATTACCTTGGGACAGATTTTCTCACGGGGCCAGGAGCATGCTGCTTGTGCTAGGCTGGCTAGCCAGTGAGCTCCCAGGATCTACTCATCTCCACTCCCAGTGGGGGCTACAGTCATCCAAAGCCATGCCATGGGTACTTGGGGTTGCTGCTCAGGTTTACACAGCAAGCATTCTTACCCACCAAACCATCTCCCCAGCCCCTTTGTTACACCATTTTTATTTAACGAATAAAGAATCTATAGTACTAACTGCAAATGCTGAAACATAATAATAGTTCTAAAATATTTTATAATAAAAGTTGGTCAAGTAAGTTTACATTAATATAGTATAGAAATTCCTTATAATTGCTTAAGTAATCAATATTCGCAGCACTTTTATTAAACAGAACTGCTAGGTCCAGCATTTTAAAATATTTCAGTGATATAAAGTTATGCTGTTAGAGGGTGTTGTTGCCTAATTTTTTCAGTAGTTTCTGAAAAAAATTGAGTTATCAACTAGTAAGTAGTGTGCAAGTAAGATATTCAACTTTAATCCAATTGTTTTATCTTTTGAATCAGTTTATTATTAAAATAAGTCATTTATAAAAGAATAAGCAATTCTTTGCTATGCTATGCTATTTTTAGATTTGATTATGACTATTATCACATGAAAATATTTTATTGTAAAGATATCCTATATAGATTGAAGTAGATGTCATTATATAATTGTTGTAAGCTCTAAAAGAGTGCGGACTAAAGGAGAAAAGCTTTTAATTTAGGAGAGAAAATAAGTAGATGAAAGAACATAGCTTGTTAGCTGTAGTATACATTAAATATATAGACTTTGGGCCAGGCGTGGTGGCACACACCTTTAATCCCAGCACTTGAGAGGCAGAGGCAGGAGGATCTTTGTGAGTTCAAGGCCAGCTGGGGCTACAAGGAGACCCTATCTCAAAAAAGACCAAAAAAACAAACAAACAAACAAAAATACACACACACACACACACACATACACACATACACTTTGCATGTTGATGCAGACTATTTATTGTAGCTATTTTTAAACAAATTAAATAATGCCTTGCTTAGAAAAAAAACAGCATATATTCAAAGAAATAATACATTTAAAAATGTGTAAAATTTTGAGGTTGGAGAGATGGCTCAGTGGTAAGAGCACTGGCTGCTCTTTCAGAGGACCTGGGTTCAGTTTCCAGCACATACAAGGCAACTAACAACTGTCTGTAACTCCAGTTCCAAGGGATCCTATATCCTCTTCTGGCCCCCACAGACATTGGAAACATAGATGCATCACATACATGCAGGTAAAATACTCATACACGTAAAAATAAATAAAAATTTAAAAATTAAAATATAAAATTATAATATGGCCTCTGGAAGTCCGACACTAAATAGTTTCCAGCTGTGTCATTTACTAAACTGTCTTAATCTTTCTGATTTTGGTTTACTCACTGTTTAAATGGACTTGTTATATGGATTAAATAGGGTTTATATATGATAAAGTACACTGCAACCTAATGTAGTATATATACTAACATATACTATATATTTAACAATAAAGATATAAAAGCCTTAAAAGAAAGGTAAAGAAACATTCTGTTAGAGCAGTGCTAATATACTTAACTATATGTAGGAATTAGTTAAACTTGAGCTTTTGAGCAGCT